ATTTTTTGTATTTTTAGTAGAGACGGGGTTTCACCATGTTGACCAGGATGGTCTTAATCTCTTGACCTCATGATCCATCCGCCTCGGCCTCCCAAAGTACTGGGATTACAGGCGTGAGCCACTGCGCCCGGCCTAATACAGCTTTTTATATGTATGATGTATATGCTGCTTTATGATGTGAAATGTAATTTTGCTTTACGAACCCACCAAAACTTTTGAAGATCATGTTCCTGAACTATAAAAAATGATTTAAAATATTTTTTATTCCTTCATACTTCACAATGGCACTAAAATAGGGACTAGACTGATTTTTATCCTTAACATTTATTTCATTTAGTTGCTGGGAAAATATTCAAATCTATCTTGAACTTCTATCTGACTTCTAGTGCTAATGACAAATTAATCACAGAACATTAGAGGAGAAAGGAACCTTAAGACTCTTCTATCACTTAGCACTTTCCTTTTCCATTTGAGCAAACTGAAGCCCTAGGATGGTAAATGTCTTGATCATTAGCCCTTAGATACCTCATCTAAATCTTCCCGCCTTGGCCTCCCAAAGTGTTGGGATTACAGGCGTGAGCCAACACGCCCGGCCTAGAAAAGTTTTTAACAGCCCCAGCTAGAAAAAAAAAAATCACAAGGATTTAACAGTAGTCACTCATTAGAATTATTCTGCATCAGTAAATTAAATTGTTCTGTTTTTAAAAATGAACAAAATTGCCGCAGTATCTTCCACAATGGTTGAGCTAATTTACACTCCTGGGAGTGGCAATTCCTCAAGGCTCTAGAAATAGAAATTCCATTTGACCCAGCAATCCCATTACTGGGTACATTCCCAAAGGATTATAAATCGTTCTGTTATAAAGTCACATGCACACGTATGTTCATTGCAACACTGTTTACAATAGCAAAGACCTGGACCCAACCCAAATGCCCATCAATGACAGACTGGACAAGGAAAATGTTGCACATATACACCATGGAATACTACACAGCCATAAAAAATGATGAGTTCGTGTCCTTTGTAGGGACATGGATGAATCTGGAAACCATCATTCTCAGCAAACTGACACAAGAACAAAAAAATCAAACACCACATGTTCTCACTCATAGGCAGGTGTTAAACAATGAGAACACATGGACACAGGGAGGGGAGCATCACACACTGGGGTCTGTTGGGGGAGGACTAGGGAAGGGACAGTGTGTGATAGGGAGGTTGGGGAGGGATAACATGGGGAGAAATGCCAGATATAGGTGATGGAGGGATGGAGGCAGCAAACCACCTTGCCATGTAAGTACCTGTGCAACAGCCCTGCATGATCTACACATGTACCCCAGAACCTAAAGTACAATAAAAAAAAAATGAACAAGATTAACAAAGCACGCATATTAAATAATACATTTTTTTGTTTTTCTCTTACTCATATTAGCATCTGTTGCCCAGATTTACCAGCCTCCAAGTTGGAAAAATAAGCTATTACTTTGTTAAATATTTATTAACAATTATCTTTATTTGATTTTTTGAAGTAAATATTAAGCTTGGCTATTTATATTAATGTCCTGAAAGGAACAACACAACATAAAGTAGTGGTTTTGGATATATTTTAGAAATTTTGCTTTAATAATGTGTTTATAACTAAATTATTTTCTAATTATTTATAAATCATGGGCATTGGGAAAAATACTGCTTTTACAGATTCTTAGTGAATTTTACTATATTGAGTCATCAGAAATGACCTGTTTACACTGAGTAGCAGTTGTCTTAGATTTATATGTATCAGTCATTTAGACTTAAAGTGATAGGTTACATAAATCCATTTTATGTTTAAAACCATGACTAAAACATCACTGGGAAACACTTTTAGTAGATAGCCAACAATTTACTATCTTTTTTATTCTTTTTTTTTTTCCATTTCTTTTCGAGACAACACCTCACTATGTTGCCCAGGCTGGTCTCAATCTCCTGGGCTCAAGTGATCCTCCTGCCTCAGCCTCCTGAGTAGCTGGGATCACACTCATGCAACACTGTGCTGTGCTTAATGTTATCCATTCTTAATGTAGATTTACTCAATTCAAAAATAAATGAAAACAAAACTTTATGCATATATATTTTTAGAGACGATATATATATATTGTACCACTGCACTCTTGCCCAGGCTAGAGTGCAGTGGTACAATCATAGCTTCCTGCAGTCTTGACCTCCCGGGCTCAAGTGATCCTCCTGCTTCAGCCTCCTGAGTAGCTAGGACTACAGGCTCATACCACCACATCTGGCTAATTTATTTTATTTTTATTTTTTATAGAGACAGGGTCTTCCTATGTTGCCCAGGCTGGTCTTGACCTCCTGGCCTCAAGTGATCCTCCTGCCTCAGCCTCCAGGAATGTTGGGATTATAGGCATGAGCCACTACACCTGGCCAAAACAAAACTTCATTAAAAGACAAACATTTTTTGAGGTGGTAGTTTTTTCTTTCATGACTTGTCTTCTACTCTGTCTTACTTATATATAGGATTCTTTTTAGTTTATATTTTTACATTTTAAGAGGCAGAAATTCCTAGCCTAAATATTATAGGAAATGCTTAATTTTCAAATTGCATTAATAGGCATTTGTTTTCATCTAGATGATATAATGCATTTCTGATTCCACTTACTGAATTTCACATTCACTTTTTTTCTTTCTGTATTTTGTTTTTACTTCTAATTTTAGGATTCTTGTCGTAGTCTTGCAGGAGAAAATTGCTGCCTTTGATAGCTGTACTTTCACAAAGAAATTCTTTGTCACAAGTATGTACCAAATTTTTTTCCCCTTGATATGCATTTGGGTTTATACAACTTACTTGACACAATCAGAAAACTAACTGTAAATATCTCAACAGTATTTAATGTTTTCAGTTTTGGTAATTGTGATTCTGTGGATGTCCTCATTGAGTAATATAATTGTATGATATATATTTTCAACTTTCTAACACATTTTCTTCATAGCTTTGTTGTAGGTTACCTTTCTCCTTACATACTCTCCTTGAGAAATTGTGATTTAGTTTCATGTAGCTATTTCATGCTTTCAAAGCAGTTGTTAAATTGCTTAACATACCATACTTTTATCTTCTACATTTTACCTTTACATATGAGCAAAATTTGTTTTTACTAACATAAGTATCTGTCATTTAACCAAAAGGTGAAAAAAAATACATATTTTTCAAGTAAGTACTTACATTTTAAAAGAATGTTTTAAAACCTTCAATACTGTTAAATAAACATATTTTAGTTTAAACAGTGGGAAATGTTATCTTTAGGAGATTTAAAAGGAGAAGTTGCTGTAAGCTAAGGGGGTCAAGAAGACTTCATGTGAAGAATTACTATCTACAGTGGGCCGAGAAAGATATATAGGATTTAAACATCATAAGGAGAAAGGGGTATTAGTGAAAAGGCCATTCCAGTCAAGAAGACAAAGGAAAAATGTACCTATAAGACTGTAAGGAGAATTTCCTTTAAAAATTTTGTTTGTGTTTGTAATTTGAGAGTATTTGCAGCTTTTCAGTGGGAGTTTTGGCGTTTGAGATTTTGTAATAGAATTTGTGGCAAGTCCTCATTTGGGCCAACGTACAGATTTTCTGTATGATGAAACAAAATGTAAATATATAAAGCCTTGGAAAAAATACATTGACAGAATCAGTATAGAGGTTGGCATATTTTCAAAGAAAGCAATTTAGCAATTTCATATTACCAATTTTACTATGACTTCTCAATTAAAACATGTGACGGAGATAAGAGTGAAAACAAAGTTTTAAGCAGAAGAGAGAATAGAGGATGTATTCTTCTTAGTTTTTATTGCTATTCGAAATTGAAAGTTCTGGAAGGAAAAAGTATATTTTTAGCCATCTTAAAGTGGTTAAATGTATTTTAAATATATAAATGTCTTCAATATTCAATAATTTGGCTTATTATGTAAACATGTGCTATGGCAAAAAATATTGTATCTTAATTACATTTTTAGTGCCACAGATATGCCATTTATTTTCCTGTAAAGACCATATACAATAACTTTTTATTTGGGGAAACACATACATGTATATAACTAGAAAAGTCATATAAAAAACACCCATGCATTTATTATCTAGTTTCAACAGCTATCAAATAATGGACAATCTTTTTCATTTATACCCCTTTCTGAATTATTTTGAAGCCTATTGCAGACATTATAGAATTTAATTTGTACATATTTATTATGGACATCTGAAAGATAAGAACTTAGAAAAATTACCAAGTGATTATATAATTATCATCCAAACTGCAGTCTTTTGATTTGCGTAGTTGCCACTGGACTTAACTCTGATCAACATATGTAAAGTCCAAAGTGAACACAGATATATGGTTATCTTGTTCTTTTAACTACCAATGAAACTCCCAAAGTTTTTGGTGCACCAAAACCTACTTTATGAGCATCCTTGCTAAATCTTTTCTACAACTCAATTTCCATGCTTCTTATGTCATATTTAATTTGAACCACTCATTATTCTCATTTTGTTGGAGATACATTTTTCCTTTGTCTTCTTGACTGGAATGAACTTTTCACTAATACCCCTTCTTACGATGTTTTAATCCTATATATCTTTCTGGGCCCAGTGTAGATAGTAATTCTTACATGAAGTCTTTCTTGAGCCCCTTAGCTTACAGTAACTTCTCTTTTTAAATCTCCTAAAGATAACAATTCCCACTCTCTGTCTGCAGAACATTATTAGATTTTCAACATACTATGCAAATCAGGATGCCCTGGTCAAATATGCTTAGGAAATGCTACCTTCTCTTGAGACTGGCAATGGTGATTACTATTTTGTCTTTTTAAATTTATTTAATATGTTTCTTTATTTCCCGTGTTTATTTGATAACAGACTTCATTTGTTACCTAACACCCTTTGGGAATGCTTTTGTAGTATGTAATCTCTGTGTCTTTTAAGGCACTTACATTCTGTCTTGTATACATTTTCTATCTGTTTGCCACTAGACAGTAATCTCATTGGGGGAAGAGTACTCAGTTTGTTTTGGATTGATGATATAAGGTTATATCATGGAAGGCGTATGTGTCTGTTATGTTCTTGCCAACATAAAAATATTAATGATACTTTTTGTTGTTCTTTTCATAATAAACCCAATTCACTTAAGGTGAATACATTCATCAAAATTAGGGGTTCTGGTTTCAAAGCACAAGTAGTTCTTTTTCAGAACGCTTAGGTAACAAAAATGTTTGTGTTAATAGTATATCTGAAAACGTAGTGCTACTCTGTCAACAGTTATCAGATGAGGAAGAAAATTATTTATATAGGATTAGTACAGATCTTTATAGGTCTGAGTTGCAAATTAAAAGTGTTTGGTGAATATTTTAAGCAATGAATATGTATACACACACACATATATATGCATATATGAATGAAATTCCTCTCTTACGAATCACATTGGGGTAAATACAGAAATTTTGTAAAGAATGAGTTTGTTAGAAAATTATGTCTTTATAGGCATCAGCTCTTGAGTACCTTTCCTGTCCATCTAAAGGATTTCCTCTTTGAAAATGAGAGCTTCTATTTCGCAAACTTTTAGTAAGCACAAAATATAAGTCAAATTTGATAAAAGTGAACAGCAGACTGAGTTGTTAGCACTCTGTTTTGAATTTTGGGCTTTTCTTTTTCCTTAATATCTTTTTGGGACATCTTTGCCATGTATTCCTGTATACATCCCCCTGAATTACTGGACCACTGAATAGAGGAAACAAGCTTTGTTAAAGCTTTGTCTTTCTTGTATCCTGTGAATCTTCACAACAGGAAGAAATCTAGAGGGGTCAGCAGTGTTTCTGATACCATAGAAAGGTACTTTAAAAGTGGCATGCAGCTTTTAATTAAGTCCTGGTCAAGTGGCTGGAGGTCCACAGTGATGAATATTCAGTAATTCCTGACCCATCACTTATTCTCTCATAGTAATGTTTGTATAACGGCTCTCATGGGTTGGGGATTCCTTAAAATCTATTCAGTGTGGATTTCATAAAATCTGAAATGGGTGTTACTTAATGGTTAAAATGTTGAAAAAAGAGTAGTAAATCAAAGTACATTCTGTCATTTTTGGGAATCAATGTTGGAAATAAGTGTAACAAACTATGTATATAAGCCCAGTAATGTCTTTTATTTATTTATTTATTTATTTTTTGAGATGGAATCTTATTCTTTTGCCCAGGCTGGAGTGCAGTGGCATGATCTTGGCTCACTGCAGCCTCTGCCTCCTGGGCTCAAGCAATTCTCCTGTCTCAGCTTCCCAAGTAGCTGGGATTACAGGCATGCTCCACTACGCCTGGCTAATTTTTGTATTTTTAGTAGAGATGGGGTTTTACCATGTTGACCAGGCTGGTCTAGAAATCCTGAGCTCAGGTGATCCACCTGCCTTGGCCTTCCAAAGTGCTAGAATTACAGGCATGAGCCACCATGCCCAGCCAGTAAGGTCTTTTAGGGAAGATGTTCTTAATTTTAACATGGTTGTCAGAAAGTAGGATAGTGCATATCCTTGGGAAGAATAGTGATTGAAAGGGAAGGAGTATAAGAGGGTGCTTTGGGGAGTCTATAATGTCTTTTTTTTGTTTGGTTGGTATGTGTTCAATATGTGTTCACTTTGTTGATTTGGGTAATTTTGCATGTATATTATATTTCAATACATACTTAATATGAAAAAATTCAGAAAGCAACAGCAGCATATGTTTGTGATTTCTTTCTTTATACTCTGGATACAATTTGATGTAGCATTTCACTACAGGTCTCCTTTACCTGTTCATCTACAGATACCCTTACCAATAGTAGTAATTATTTTATTTCATACTTCCATTAGGAAATATGTCATTCTTAGTTACAAATTATTTTGCTTGAAAAGCCTTGGGGTCAAATTTATGTATCTGATATATGATTTTAAGTTGGTAAGATTGATTATATTCTGCAAATATTTGAATGAAAGAACTTGGCTGCTTTTCTTTGAAATTACAGCTTCTTCTAAAGTGATTTGTATCAATATTTAGAACAAAATTCACCATGACTGGATTTTTGAAATTAAGGAACAAAGGGTGTCACTTCAAACTTGAAAGAATCTTATTTTCCTCCAGTTTCTCCATCTTCTCCCTGTTCCTTTATACAGACCGAAACTTTTGTCAGGTTAATCCCATGCTTGTAAGCTGGTTTTGCCCATTAGACTGAAAGGTATAGGATACAGAGATTGGAGGACAGATTATTGGGATATAGGGAGCGAGTGGGACAGGGCATACTGAGATAGCATCTGTGGTAGTTCATTTGCCTGTAGCACATAGTTTTTCTCCATTGGTTGGTACCTAGTTCTTAAAGTAGGACCATAGCCCATGTTGAGTGACAAGATTTCTACTTAATGAGGGTGTTGTTCTGATCATGCAAGCAGTTATCTTCTAAAATAGTTTGAAAAGCTTTTGCATACTACCTTCTTAGTGCATTGGTTATGTACGAATACAATGAAGGGACTGTAAAATAAGTAGAGACAGCTGTGTCCATCAGATCAAGCATCATGGGAATTTGTGCCAAAGTGTGGAGAGAACAGGTAAAGAGAGCTGATAGAGGACTGTTAATGGAACACATCCAATATGATGAGAAAGGAGACACCTTTGTATTTCAATATAAAGAAAAAGTCGCCTTGAGCAGCTGTCTGATGTGGAAATCCAAAACCAGGTATGATTAGGAAAACAAAAGACAAAGACTGATAGATGTCATTAGCAGTCATTTTCAGTATCCTTAAATTGAAAGGTAGATGTGAAGTCTCCTGAGAGATCAAAGGAGTATACAGTAGGCAATCTTGTTCCATTGGCCTCTGTATTTACTTGGAAGAGGAAAAATTATTTCTTACATTTTTGTGTTATTTCTTGGTTTTAGTGTGTTCTTTTATATTAATGATGGATAATAAATAGAACAAATGGAAATGCAAATTTTACTTTAAAATGCAAAATTATCTTTAATTTTTGAAAGAGGAGCTTTGCTTTTATGTGAAGAAACAAGTTTGTGATATTTATGAGAATTCAGCACTAGGTTAGTCTGAGTTCTAAGTTCAGCTTACATTAAAAGTTAAACCTATCTTTGTTTTTCTGGGTTCCGCATAACATGGACAAGGTCACTATGATGTTTTCAGGGCATGTGCTGGTGCAGGATACATAGTGGACACTCAAGGAATATGTGTGCAGTGAACTAACTTGTGACTTATTCTCTGCACACAATTCTCACCCACTGAGTCTTAGAATGGCAGTACTCTGAAATTCATGGTATGCTTCATATACATGAAAAATAAACCAACAATAAAATAGGAGTTTTAAACTCAAAGCTCATAAAACCTTAAGAGGGTCATTAATCAGCTGTGTGATGGTTAAACAAATCTCTGAAATGATATTTAATATTTTATGTGCTTGTATGTTTTTCTGGGGAAGATGTTCATAATCTTTTTTGGACATCATACAATATGTGGTCTTTCATGACTGGTGTCTTTCACTGATAATCAGTGTTTCTCCACTGTCCAGTATCTATCAGGTCTTCCTTTCTTTTCCTATATTTCATTGCATATATATGCCACATTTTATCTGATCATTAGTTGATAGATATTTGGTTGGTTTCTACTTTTAGGCTGTTGTAGATAATGCTTATATGAACACTAGTGTGCAAGTTTTTTGGTGAACATATATATGTTCTCTTGGGTATGGTCATTTGGCTATAAGTTTTTGTAATTTTGATTTGAATTTCTTTGATGGCTAATGACACTGACTTTTTTTTTGAGATGGAGTCTTGCTCTTCACTCAGGCTGGGGCAATCTCAGCTTACTGCAACCTCTGCCTCCCAGATTCAGGTGATTCTTCTGCCTGAGTAGCTGGGATTACAACTGCGTGCCACCACTCCCAGCTAGTTTTTGTATTTTTAGTAGAGACAGGGTTTCACTATGTTAGGCTGATCTCGGACTCCTGACCTCATGATCCGCCTACCTTGGTCTACCAAAGTGTTGGGATTACAGGCGCGAGACACTGCGCCTGGCCGGCAGTGACCATTTTTTTTTTTCTGAGATGAAGTCTCCTCTGTTGCCCAGGCTGGAGTGCAGGGGCGCAATCTCAGCTCACTGCAGCCTCCACCTCCTGGGTTCAAGCAATTTTCCTGCCTCAGCCTCCTGAGTAGCTGAGACTCAGACTACAGGTGCGTGCCACCATGCCCATCTAATTTTTTTGTGTTTTTAGTAGAGATGGGGTTTCACTATGTTAGCCAGGATGGTCTCAATCTCCTGACCTTGTCAACCACCCACTTTGGCCTCCCAAAGTGCTGGGATTACAGGTGTGAGCCGCTGTGCCTGGTGGGCACTGACCATTTTTAATGTGCTTATTTGCCGTTTGTATATCTTTGTCCATTTTTAAATTGAATTATTTGACTTTTCAATGTTGAATGGTAATAGTTATTTTATATTGTAGATATAAGTCACTTATCAGATACATTTTTTGCAAAAAATGTTTCCTCATTCTTTAGGTTGTCTTTTCACTTTCTTGATGGTGTCCTTTAAAGCATGTTAAGTTTGCATTTGTTTTGATAAAGTCCAATTTTTCTGTTGTCATATATAAGAAATCATTGCCTAATCCAAGGTCATGAAAATTTATAATATTTTGTTCTAAAGATTTAATTATTTAACTTTTATATTTAAGCCTTTGATCCATTTTTCTATGTGATTAAGATAGAGGTCCAGCTTCATCCCCATCCAGATGCCTTTGCATTTGGATATCCAGTAGACCCAGCACCAATTGTTAAAAAGACTTCTTTAACCTTTGACTTGTCTTGGAATTCTTGTTGAAAATCAGTTGACTATAAATGTAAATACCTTTTTTTTTTTAAATTTAAAGGGCTGAAACTTTTACTTTGTCCTTGCCAGGAAAAATAAGGCAAAGCGTCACAGAGAGTAGTTCAGTTTTTTGTTTTTTGAAACGAGTTCAGGTCACCTCTCCATTAGGAACACTTTCTGGGAGGATACCATCTAAAATTACATCATGCTTGTGTGCCTTCTTAATTAGTTTTTTAGTAATGGAAAAATACAGTGTGCTTCTAAAAATTTTTTACCTTCATTAAAATTGGGAAATGAGTTCTTTTACCATCCAGTTCTCTCTTTCTTTGTTCAAAAACATTGTAAATGTGTTAGAATTAGGCCTAGTATTATAGAGATTCATGTCTGCCCAACTACTTGTTTTCAGAGTTTACCTATAGGCAAAGGTTAATCTTTCAAGGAGTCATGCTTGTAAGGTTGGGTTAGTGCTGAGTGACTTATGTTCTGCTGATTCTAGCTCTAAAGCATTCTTTTGGTAAGCAGGAAAACAGTTGCTTTCATTAAAATACAATGTAATTCTTGAGGTCCACTGAACTCTAAAAATATGGACTCAAAAGATGAAATGAAGAATTGTAAACTGCATTTTCTCTTAGGATCCTTTTATATGTGTGAGGTTAAAGTGGTTATCAGAATTGATTGAGAGTCAGATTATTTAGTTTTAAAGCTAATTCGGGATGAGCTATATCTAATGTGACACTGCAGTTCACAGGTACTTGGTTATGTTTTCATGACAAGTTTTAAAAGGAGGAAAACTTTTTTGATGATATTTATCTTCATTTCTCCAGCTCTAAAATTTTTAAGGAATATATTATACAGACTCATGTATAAAAGTATATTTTTCATGAATAAGATTAATTTACTCAAGAGTAATTTATTGTGTAAATACTACACAATTTATAGTAGAGTATGTTGCCTTTGTATAATTTTTAGTGTATTTTTATTCTATATACGTTTATATAATATGCATTCAGTAGATAATAGTAATATTACAGTTAACCTGAGGTCTGTTTTCCAGAAACCCAAAGCAATGCAAACATACTCCTTCAAACAGTAGCATAAATGAGCAGTTTTTTAAAAAGTGAGCAATAAAATGAGAAAGCTTTTATTTATGTAGACTTTCTTTTGGAGTCTGTCTCTTCTATAAGTTTATTATTTTCTTTTTAAGATGATAATTCAGAATAGATGGCAATTTAGGGAGCTGAGCTGAAAATGGCTGTTTACTGGAAGCAACAGTAAGGTATGCTTCTTTAGTGCTTTTGAGCACAGCAACAGGACCATGGTCAGAATGACTGTCGAGTGGCGTGTAGGGGAGATTGAGCGGTGAAGAAAACAGACAAATTCTTCAATTTGCATATCCTTCTAATCAAGCTGGAGGAAGATAGAAAATAAGTGGTAAATATATGTCGTAGAACAATTAACTGTTTTTATTGTCTAAAACTGGAAGCAAGAAGAATGATATTGAGTGAAATATAAATACAAAAGATTATGCAGTTCCCCATCATCTTTCTGTGGAGGCAGCTGTTCAGAGTTACTTGTCCTCATTGGCCTCAATGTGGTTAAATACTTTTTTCTCCCCATCACAGTATCATGTCTGATAGTCTTATTTATCTTTTGCCCTTACATTCCTGAACCCATCATATCCTCTGTCTCTCCTCTCCCAAAATCCTTCCTTGATTTATGGATGTTAGACTTAAAATGGCCCCTCTTAACTTCATTCTCTTGTTTAGGAATAACTGTATAAAATGCCCAGTGTTTGCCAAAAGTGATGACCAATTCTTTCCAGATTTGTTTCTTATTGGGACAGAGTTAAAAATCCAAAGAAACGAAACAGAGGAGGAAAAAAATGAAGCTTATTTACTATCAAAATAATGACGAGTATTATGGGAATTTTATGCGAGACTTGAAAACATATAAGCGTGTGATTTTTCTGTTTTTCTGGCATCGACATATGATGTACCAGTAGAAAAGTTATTAAGAAATTTCTCAATAGTGCCATTTGAAATTTTTCAGGCTGCTATCCATGTCCAGGGCCAAACATGAATCCTATCGCTCTTGGGAGCCGCTGGCTTGCTTATGCAGAAAACAAGGTAAGATGTGGCCTGTGTTTGGATTATTTGTAATGAAGTAAGTGTTGAAGTACTTTCCATAATAAATACCTATGCTCCATAGGTGATTACCAATAATAGATGTTTAACTTACTAGTTCATTTGCTTTGGTTTGGTTTTAATTGTGCAACTAATAATTGAATTCTTTTAAGGATTCATAAATATTTGACAGTTGTCGTTAAGTCCAGACTCTGTAGAACCTTAATTTTTTAAGCTTGGTTTTATAGAGAGAACTTTATCCTGTTAATTAATACTAGAGCGCAGCATTGAGATTACCCCAGTAGTGATATTAAGGAAAGTAGTTTCTGACTTTTTAGAAATCAGGAGGCAGAGGTAACTTCTATCTTCATTGGTAGATTAGAAGCATGGGTATAGAATAATTTAATTGACATTAACCATATGCTAACAACTAGATCTAAACAAGGGTTCAACCTTTTTTTTTTTTTTTTTTTTTTTTTTGAGACAGTGTCTCGCTCTGTCATTAGTCTGGAGTACAGTGGCACTGTCTTGGCTCACTGCAACCTCCGCCTTCTGGGTTCAAGTGATTCTCCTGCCTCAGCCTCCCGAGTAGCCGGGACTACAGGCATATGCCGCCATGCTTGGCTAATTTTTATATTTTTAGTAGAGATGGGGTTTCACCATGTTGGCCAGGATGGTCTTAATCTCTTGACCTTGTGATCCACTCACCGCAGCCTCTCAAAGTGCTGGGATTACAGGTGTGAGTTACCACTCCTGGCCCCAGCCATTTGTTTTAATAATTACATCATATATGTTCACCTTCTGTTGCCTTTTTCAATTATTTATCAATTTATTTATTAAGGTCATTGTATTAAGTGAAGATATTGTATTTATATACTACAAATTTTATTTATGTCAAATTCAAGGGAAAAGGTAAATTTGAGTCTTCAAAAAGAAAGATAAAATTCTTTTAATTTAATTACCCTGCATGTGAATGTAGAATGAAATCTAAAACATATTACAGATTTCAAAGAAGACTACTATCTTTGGTTATGTTTTTGCTGGTTGCATAGGTAATGAGTGTATCTTGGGATTCATATAAATTAGTATGAAATAGTTCAGTTCTTGACAAAGTTAGAATGTGGTAAGTAAAGTAATTATTTGACAAAGCCACAGGGCTACTAGATCTCTAGCCTTTGGAATGTACAAAAATCAAGAAACTACTGAAGAAAATTATTTTTCTGGATAAATACTTTGAGATCTTAATCATGAGTCTGTCTGCAACTACTAGATATGTTACATCTTACTGAATTCTGTGTTTATATTCCATCCTGCCCTTTCTCTTGATTTTCTGGTATATCTTGTAAAAATAGCTCTTTCAAATTACTCTTTTCTAACAAGACTGGAGGAATACAAGTAAGTGCAGTGACACAATGGTATCTTCTAACGTTTATGTCTGTAAAGCATTTCCCTTGAGTGCTGGAGACACCCAAGACAAAGATGTATAAATTGTCCCTTGGGTCTTGTGGATCTGTTCTTACATGTGGGGAACTGCCCATTTGAAAGTGGAGATAATATGTGAATAGTTACATATTGTCTTTGAGGGGAAAGAACTCCCTTCATAGATGCATAGCCTGAATAGGCACCAATTGTTTTCCCTCTTCAGGAACACGTGTTAATATCTGGTGTCATGTACAGAGACCAGACAACGTAGTGGCCTCCACAAGGAGTTTGTGAATCAAATGTACCTTCATCTTGAAAATATTTCTAGATAAATGTCCTTACATAGAATTTTCTTTTTTCCTTCTTTCTTTCTTTTTTTTTTTGAGATGGAGTCTTGCTCTGTTGCTGCCAGGCTGGAGTGCAGTGGCATGATCTCAGCTTACTGAAACCTCCATCTCCCAGGTTCAAGCGATTCTCCTGCCTCAGCCTCCCGAGTAGCTGGGACTATAGGCATGTGCCCACACACCCAGCTAATTTGTGTATTGTTTTAGTAGAGACGGGGTTTCACCATGTTGGTCAGGATGGTCTTGATCCTTTGACCTTGTGATCTGCCTGCCTCAGCCTCCCAGTGTTTTAGGATTACAGGTGTGAGCCTTTGTGCCTGGCCACATAGTATTTTCATAAGAGCTAGCATTTATTAGTTTCTAATTGTTTTAGCTTTGGGGCTGAGTATGGAATTATAAAATTGAATTGAATTTTGGGGTAACAATCTCCTTCAGTGAAAATGTTCTTTGACTATAAAATCTTGAGAAGCAATATATCTTTTTTTGGTTTTGTTTTCTTTTAAGATTCATGGGGAACATGTGCATGTTCATTACATAGGTATATTGTGTAAGGGTGGTGATTGGGCTTCTAATGTATCTATCACCCAGATATTCAACATTGTACCCAGTAAGTGATTTTTCAACCCTCAGCTGCCTCCCACCCTCCCCCTTTTGGAGTCCCCACTGTCTTATTATTTCCATTTTCATCATCATATGCACCCATTGTTTAGCTCTCATTTATAAGTTAGAACATGCTATTTTTGATTTTCTGTTTCTGAGTTAGTTCCCTTAGGATAATGGCCTCCAGCTCCATGCATGTTGCCACAAAGGACGATTTCATTCTTTCAGTGGCTGCATAGTATTCTATGGTGTGTATATCCATATTTTCTTTATTCAGTCAACTGTTGATAGACACTTAGTTTGGTTCCATGACTTTGCTATTGTGACTAGCACTGCAATGAACATACAAGTACAGGTCCTTTTTAAAATGATTTCTTTTCCTTTAGATACCCAGTGGTGGGATTGCTGAGTGGCATGGTAGCTCTATTTTTAGTTCTTTGAGAAATCTCCAAACTGTTTTCCATGGAGATTAAACTAATTTAGATTTCAACCAACAGTGTATAAGGATCCCCTTTTCTAAATATTCATGCATATTTTACATATTCAACAGAATATCTGTTTCTGATTTTTTAAGAATAGCCATTTTCGGCCAGGTGTGGTGATTCATGCCTATAATCCCAGCACTTTGGGAGGCTGAGGCTGGTGGATTATGTGAGGTCAGGAGTTTGATACCAGCCTGGCCAACATGGTGAAACCCTGTCTCTACTCAAAATACAGAAAATTAGCTGGGTGTGGTGGAGCATGCCTGTAATACCAGCTACTTGGCAGGCTGAGGCAGTAGAATCGCTTGAACCTGGGAGGTGGAGGTTGCAGTGAGCTGAGATTGTGCCATTGAACTCCAGCCTGGGCAATAAGAACAAAACTCTGTNAAAAAAAAAAAAAACAAAAAAACCCATTTTCACTTGTGTAAGATGATAGCTTGATGTGGTTTTTAATTGCATTTCTCTGATAATTAGTGATGCTGAGCATTTTTTTCTATGTTGGTCACTTAACGTTTCTTTTCAGAAATGTCTATTTATGTCCTTTGGGGTTTCTCATGGAGTTTGTTTCTTTACGTGTTCAGTTGTTTGAGTTTCTTGTATATTCTCAGTTGAAGGTATAATTTACAAATATTTTCTCCCTTTGTGTAATTTGTCTGTTTATCAATTATTTCTTTTGCTGTGCAGGAACTTTTTAGTTTAATTAAGCCTCATTTGTCTATTTTTGTTACATTTGTTTTTGGGGTCTTTGTCATAAATTCCTTGTCTAGGACAATGTTTAGAAGAGTTTTTTTTTTTTTTTTCCTAGGTTTTCTTCTAGAATTTCTATAGTTTCAGGTCTTACATTTAGATCTTCAATCCATCTTGAATTAATGTTTGTATATGCTGAGGGGTCTGGTTTCGTTCTTTTGCTATGGCTACCCAATTTTCTCAGCTCCATTTATTGCACAGGGTGTCCTTTCTCCATTTTGTATTTTTGTCAACTTTGTTAACAAAAAAGATCAGTTGCTTTTAAGTATCTGACATTATTCAGTTCTCTATTCTGTTCTATTGATCTATGTATCTTTTTCTTTTTCAGACAGAGTCTTGCTCTGTCGCTCAGGCTGGAGGGCAGTGTTGTGATCTCTGTTTACTACAACCTCTGCTTCCTGGGTTCAAGTCATTCTCTCTCCTCAGACTCCTGAGTAGCTGAGACTGCAGGCACATGCTACCACACCTGGCTGATTTTTGTATTTTTAGTAGAAATGGAGTTTTTTTTTCTTTGTTTGTTTTTTTTTTTTTTTTTTTGGTTTTTTTTAATTTTTTTTTTTTTTTTTTTTTTTTTTTTTTTTTTGGCATTATGAAAATATCTTTTAATACATTTATTTAACAAGAGAAAAATTATCAGAAAATGAGAAGCACCAAGAAATGGAGTTTTATCATGTTGGCCAGGCTGGTCTTGAATGCCTGATGTCACGTGATTCACCCACTTTAGCCTCCCAAAGTGCTGGGATTATAGGCACGTGCCTCTGTGCCCAGCCTCTGTCTATTTTTATACCAGTACCATGCTGTTTTAGTTACTGCAGCCTTGTAGTACAGTTTGAAATCCGCAGCCTTATAGTATAGTTTGATGCTTCCTGATTTGTTCTGTTTACTTAGGACTGCTTTGGCTGTTTAGGCCTTTTTTTTTTTTTCTTTTATATGAACTTTAGAATTGTTTTTAAAAGATCTATCTTCAAGTTCTAAGATTCTCTCTTTTGCCTGATGTAGTGAATTGTTAAAACTTTCTAATGTGTTTTCTGTTTCCTCCAATATATTCTTCACTTCCAGAATTTCTTTTTTTAATTTTTATGTTTATTATATTTTATGTTTAAAAAATTTAAAAATTTAATTTTTTTTTAAGAGACAGGATCTCACTGGTCTTACTGTGTCATCCAAGCTAAAGTTTGGTGGTGCAATCATGGCTCACTGCAACCTTGACCCCCATGGATCAAGTGATTCTCCTGCCTCGGCTTCCTGACTGAGTAGCTGGGTGTACAGGTGTGTGCCACCACACTAGGCTAATTTTTTTTTTTTTTTTTTTTTTTTTTTTAGTAGAGATAGGGTCTTGCCATGTTGCCCAAGCTGGTCTTGAACTTCTCGGCTCAAGGAGTCTTCCCGCCTTGACCTCCCATAGTGCTGGGATTACAGGCATGAGCCACTGTACTTGGCCAGAATTTCTGTTTGATTCTTTAAAAAAATATCAATCTCTCTGGTAAATTTCTCATTTATATTCTGAATTGTTTTTCTGATATATCTGCATTATTTTTCAGAATTTTCTTGTATCTCACAAGATTGTTTTAAATTATCTGAGTTCTATGTCTGGGATTTCACAAATTTCATTTTGATTGAATCTGAAGCTGGAGAATTGTGTTTCTTTGGAGGCATCACATTTTCTTCATTTTTCATGTTTCCTGTATCATTACATTGATATTTGCACATCTGGTGCAACAGTCACCTCTTCATATTTTGACATTTATTTTCATAGAGGACTTTTTTATGGATGAAGATGTATCTATAGTACTGGTTGGGTAGGGCAACTTAGTCTTGGTCTTGATTCTGGGTGTGTACAGTAATGTAGTCTGTTTTTTTTGTTTTTGTTTTTTGTTTTTTTTGCTGTATACATCATTAGGGGTATCTATTATTTACTTAATGAATTAGGGTGTGGTTATTAGTGGTGGCTGTGGTGAAGTTTTGCTGGAGACTGGGATGCCAAGTTGGCTGTTCATCAGTATGCAGTGGTGGCAGCATTGGGCTAAGTATGCCTATCCTTGTGCCCCAGAGTGATGTACATTGGCACCTATATTGGTGGTTACAAGTGGGCTGATTCTTGGTCCTCCAGGTAGCTTGCTTGGATGCTGGTAGTGGCGGTGGTTAATGATGTGGGTGGGCTGGGTCTTGGGCCCCTGGGTAGCCAGTGTGACATCATGATAATAGTAGCAGTGGCAAGATTATTCTTTTTGTACCTGGTGGTGTGTGTTGGTGTTGGTGGTGGCTGCAGTGGTCTGAGGCTACAGGAGTCAGTCTTCAGGCCTGTAGTTGGAGCTTCCAGGTAGGTGCCAGCTGTGGGGGCAGTGGTAGGGAGATAAGGCCAAGCTTTAGACTCCCTAGAGTAGTGCTTATATACCCAAAGAAGTGGATTGGGTTGGGCAATCCAGGGACCCTGGGTTATGTGTTCTGTCTTGGCGGGTTGAGGGCAGAACTAGGCTGGGTAGGATTGTTCTCAGGCTCTGCAGCAGTGAGAACAGATACCAGCTATGGTGGGTGGGAACAGGGTAATCCTAGGAACAGTTCTTGGGAGAGTGGCTGCCTCTGGAGAGGTTAGGTCTGGCCTCAGTAGCCACAGCTAGGCTGGTGGGTGGAGAAAATGTGTCTCGTTCACACCCCAGTACCAGTGGGGCTCACTTCCCAGTCCTGGTGGCAATGGCATATACCTGTCTAACCCCCATCCCTGGCTGTAGGAGCCTCTGCCCAGCTCACAACCAAGTCTCAGTGGCAACCCATGCATGTCTCGTCTCTGTCCTGGTAGCACTTGCTTTCCTGCATTGGTAGCTGCTACAGCCCATGCTTTACTTGATTCTCAGCCCCTACTGCGGGATTGTGCCCAGATCACACCCTATTTTCAGCAGTGACAGCTTGAGGTTTTTTTTTTTTTCTTCCCTCTGAGACTGAGTCTTGCTCTGCTGTCCGGGCTGGAGTGCAGTAGTCTGATCTCAGCTCACTGCAACCTCCACCTCCAGGTTCAAGCAATTCTCTTGCCCCAGCCTCCTGAGTAGCTGGGATTACAGGCATGTACCACCATGCCTGGCTAATTTTTGTATTTTTAGTAGAGACTGGGTTTCACCATGTTGGCCAGGCTGGTCTTGAACTCCTGATCTTGTGATCCGCCTATCTTGGACTCCCAAAGTGTTGGGATTACAGGTGTGAGCCACTGCACCTGGCCTCTGAGCTGTTTGTTTGTTTGTTTGTTTTTTTAACATCTCAGTCCCAGCACTGCTAGGCCCCAGCGCAGCATGCCATCTGCCAATAACTAGGTTTGAAGATGGTGTCTTACTGGTCATGGTGGCTTGTGCCTGTAGTTCCAGCTACTTGGGAGGCAGAGGTAGGAAGATTGCTTGAGTTCAGGAGTTCTGGGCTGTAGTGCACTATGCCAACTGGGTGTCTGCACTAAGTTCAGCATCAATACGGTGACCTCACAGGAGTGGGGAACCACCAGGTTGTCTAAGGAGGGGTGAATCAGCCCAGATTGGAAATAGAGCAGATCAAAATTCCCATGCTGATCAGTAGTGGGATGGCAACTGTGAATAGCCACTGCACTCCAGCCTGTGCAATGTGGTAAGACCCTGTCTCTTTAAAAAAAAAAAAAAAAGAAGAAGAAGAAAAAGAAAAGACAATGGTGTCTTGCTATAGCCACTTAGGTCTCAGAAAGTGTATAGGACCCTCCCTGTAGCAGTTCTGTTCAGCAGTCTCCCAACATCTCCCTATGTTAAGTTTCAGGGCTTGGGAGGGTTGAGGGTCTCTCCTCTGGCTAAGATTGCATGATTCAATGGTGGGGGAAGTGGGCTGCTGGAGTTCTCTTACTTATCCTTGCCTTGTGTTAGGAAGTCACTCTCAGCCTATCCTAGCCAAGCAGGCTGTCTTCTTTCTCCTATCCACTTTTGCTGTTTCCTGTTACTTCTCTGATGAATTCTAGTCTTCTTCCTTGGACAATGTATTTGAAGCGTGACTCTCCATGCATTATTTTGGTTCTCCTGTGTGGAGGAGGTGAACATGAAATGGTTCTTGACCAATCCTTTCTTTCACAAAAATAACATAGTATATACGCTCTTTGGAAAACTTTTTATTTTTCTTTTTCTTAATAATATTTCCTGGAAACTAGTTGATTTGATAGAATTTTGCACTGTGGAAAATTCTGACCTGTCTTTAATTTTGTTGAACCAAGATGCAAATGTAATTTTCTGATGATTCTAAATTTTAGACCAAAATTTCTGACTTAGTTACTTTTATGTAGAACTACTGACTCAGTTGTAGTTGAATTTGAAAGGTAAGAATAGGACCAGGCATGGTGGCTCACGCCCGTAGTCCCAGTGCTTTGGAAAGCTAAGGTGGGTGGATCTCTTGAGGTCAGGAGTTTGAGACCAACCCGACCAACATGGCGAAGCCCCATATCTACTAAAAATACACACACAAAAAAATAGCCAGGTGTGGTGGTGCATGCCTGTAATCCCAGCTGCTTGAGAGTCTGAGGCAGGAAAGTTGCCTCAACCCGAGGGGCAGAGGTTGCAGTGAGCTGAAATGATACGACTGAACTCCAGCCTGGGTGATAGAGTGATACTCTGTCTCTGGGGGGAAAAAAAAAATAAGAAGGAAAGGAAGGTAAGAGTGTTGTTTGTTTTTATATGTTTGTCCTTGAGTATTTTAATTGCCAGAAGCAGAGAATAAGCAATAACCTTTCTTTCCTTGCTCATGCAGCAGGAGGCAGCAGAGGAATAATTTTCATAATCCTTCTAATGTGTATTTGTGGTTGAATGAGTGAGCGAGAAAAAGATTCTGTTTGCTAAAATGATCACTCTATGTGAAACCACATTTGATGACCACCTATCATTTGGAAAATTCCTCACTTCTCTTTTTGAAATCTGCTTAAGCAGTCATTCAGTGTGACATAACAGATGGCCTAAAAAAAAAATCTTGACTTTGTATCATATCATACTTTTAAGAGTTTTCCATTCTATTATAATATATTACTATTGCTTTCAGGGGTATTTAAAATAACAATGTCAGTGATGAAGAAAATTTTGAATTAAGAATAAAAGAATTACATATCAGTCTTCATCAGAGGATCTGGTTTTAAACTATGTAAAGCATTTTTAATTTTTATGTTTTGGGAGATACAGATTCTCTGTGAGTTCCAAAGGTTTTAAAAAACTCATGATGTGCGGTTCTAATACTCTAACCTTGTCATTTTGTTTTTTAAAAATGTTAAACATACAAATCTGGCTAATGACATTTTTTACTAAATGTAGGAAGTGAGGACCAGTGGTGAATTTAATCCTGGTTGATTACTTAGCATATGAAATAATCATGTATCTCAAAGTAGGGATTCACTTTGAAAATTGGCAGTTTGCTTTATTCATGTCAGCCACAAATAAGGATATGTCTTTTTTATTCCTAATGGGAAAAGCTTAAGCTCTCTGAAGTGGACAGCTAGTATACGTGTCATAGTTGATTTACACATAATTGTAACACTTTTCCGTCGACACAATTGAAAATGCAAATATGGCAAAATCTTTTGTCTACTTTTTATGTTTTATAATCTTTGTGGAGGAATTAACAGGATAAAACATATAATTTGTTAACATGTCAGAGATTTAAGTTAGGAAGTCATGTGTAAGTCCTTTGAGTATGTTTTTAAAATTTATTTGTGGAAAGGCCATCAGACCCCAATCCTACCATTTCAGAGTTTATAGATTCTTAAAGACTATTCATCTTGTAATTAAAACTGTAGTTGAGCATGAAACTGCCTGAGTGGCACCAGTAGATTATAAAAAGGGGTAAAAATGTCTCAGCAGCGCTTTTAGCTGTTTGTCTGAAATACCCTCATGCAAACATTCCATCCCATCACCATCACTATGCATGGTGAATAAGCTCTATCCTAATAGCCTGCAGAGTTAAATCGAGTAATAGAAATGAACTTCTGCTTTTCTCTCTCTCTTTTTCTCAGTTGATTCGATGTCATCAGTCCCGTGGTGGAGCCTGTGGAGACAACATTCAGTCTTACACTGCCACAGTTATTAGTGCTGCTAAAGTGAGTACCTCTGAAATCTCAGAGAGTTGTGATTATGTGTAGTAATTGTTCAGATTTCTCTCCTGAATTATATTTTCTATTGTAATGATTGTAGTGCTTGTACTTCTCCAATTTTAAATATTTTAAGTTTGTTAGCTAGCTTCAAATCTGTTATCAAATTACTACCACATTTGGAAGAAGCTTTCCATGTTTTAAACAGTGACTTCTGGGTTCTCTGTGATTTGCATCATTCTACCTACACTGACCTCCCTTTGCATCTTTGAACATTTCTGAGTCTTCTTCTCATGAAAAGAATATTATTCCCTATGAAAACTTGAGTCAGCTCCTTGTCACATTCAAAGATTCTTTCATATCAAGGGGCTGCCCCCTTCATGTTTGTCAAGTGAGCTCTTTTTTTTCATGTGTATGAGGGTTAATTTTGATGATGGCTGGTAAACTTTATGCTGATTATAAGGTATTCTTATAACCACTAACCTTTTGAATTGTGAAGTATATAACAAAACAATTCTAATAATAGGAATGACAGAGTGGATCTAAATGACAGCATGTAATAGAAAGCACAACCATTGAGAAAAGAACAACAGTTTAAAGCAAACCACAGAGTGGGAATCAAAGGTCACACTGTTTTATGTAAAACAAATACAAAAATACTTCATATTTGATCACAGACGCTTACATGATGTGCTTCAGAATGTGTTCCTTGGTTTGATGAGAGAAGCATTACGTATTTTGCACCCAAAAGAGAATTAACCTTTAAGTCTTTATGCCTGTAGCACTCTGAATTTTAGATTTCAGAAATCTTTTTTTTTTTCTTAAGACAGGGTCTCCTCTGACAGCTTAGGCTGGAGTGAACACCCACCTCAGCCTCCCAAGTAGCTGGGACTACAAGCGCGTGCTGCCATGCCCGGCTAATTTTTTGTATCGTTTGTAGAGACAGGGTTTTGCCATGTTACCCAGGCTGTTCTTGAACTTCTGAGCTCAAACAATTCACCCATCTCAGTCTCCCAAAGTGCTGGGGTTATAGGTGTGCACTACCATACCCAGCAATTACAGAGATCTTAATAAAGATTGCTCACTTTTCTAATTGTGTATAAAAAATTATGATGGTGGCCGGGCGCGGTGGCTCAAGCCTGTAATCCCAGTGCTTTGGGAGGCCGAGGCGGGTGGATCACGAGGTCAAGAGATCGAGACCATCCTGGTCAACATGGTGAAACCCCGTCTCTACTAAAAATACAAAAACATTAGCTGGGCATGGTGGTGCGTGCCTGTAATCCCAGCTACTCAGGAGGCTGAGGCAGGAGAATTGCCTGAACTCAGGAGGCGGAGGTTGCGGTGAGCCGAGATCGCGCCATTGCACTCCAGCCTGGGTAACATGAGTGAAACTCCGTCTCAAAAAAAAAAAAAAAAAAAAAAAAATTATGATGGTTATTTCAATGAAGAGCTAAGAGAGAGTATTTAGAAAGCATCTTTAGTATGAGTCTCCTTATTTATCCACAAAATATAACAATGAGATCTTTATCTCAAGTATTAGACTCCTTTTCAACTTCTCTGTTTCATACACATGGATCACAATAGCTTAGCTTATGATCATTTTGAGTCATTTTCAGTTATGGAATGGAGAATAACTTTTCAGCTCCTGTTTGCTATTTTTATGTTTTTATGTGCTTATATAAAAACAAAGTGACCTTCAGTCTGTGTTTTGTTGTGTACCTGCTGGAGGGAGTGAGACTGGACTTAAGATGTTTTAAAAATAACAAGTGCAGGCCAGACGCAGTGGCTCACACTAGTAATGCCAGCACTTTGGGAGGCCGAGGTGGGTGGATCATAAGGTCGGGGTTCAAGACCAGCCTGGCCAAGATGGTGAAACCCCTCTCTACTAAAAATACGAAGATCAGCCCAGCATGGTGGCAGGTGCCTGTAATCCCAGCTACTCAGGAGGCTGAGGCAGAGAATTGTTTGAACCTGGGAGGTAGAGGTTGCAGTGAGCCGAGATCATACCACTAGATTCTAACCTGGGCTACAGAGTGAGACTCTGTCTCAAAGTAAATAAATAAATAAAAATAAAATAATGAGTGTAGACACCCCACTTTCTCATACCTCAGTATTGGGAACTGTGAGGCATATACTCATGTCTTCCACTTTTAAGACCCTAAGAAATTATCTTTAGTATAACACCTTAGGACTGGATACTGTGGCTCATGCCTATAATCCCAGCACTTTGGGAGGCTGAGGTGGGAGAATCACATGAGCTCAGGAATTTGAGACCAGCTTAGGTAGGCAACATAGTGAGACCCTATCTCTAAAAAACAAATTTAAAAATAATCTGAGTTTGGTGGTGCATGCCTGTTGTCCCAGCTACTCCAGAAGCTGAGGTGGGAAGTTTGCTTGAGCTTTGGAGGCCAAGGCTACAGTGAGCCATGATTGCACCAGCAGTCCATTGCACTGCACTCCAGGCTGGACAACAGTGTGAGATTCTGTCTCAAAAAAAAAAAAAAAAAAATCTTAGTTCAATTTTCAGTAGGCTATTGGCCATTAGTAGGTTGGTTATAATTCATTATAAGCTCTGGCAATATATAAATTTCTGCAATTGGTTTTTGAATAAAGTGGGTAACGTTTAATTTTAGTTTAATTATTTTTGCCTGATGTCAATGCTTATTCATATTCATGATTATAAATTTACAAAATAAAGGGAAAAAATCACTAATGAACATTAAAGTTACCTGTCTTTTGATAGCATGTATGTTTGTGTATACATGCATATTTTTAATTGTTATTACTTATTTATATTTAACATTTTTTTCTTTTTTGAGACAGTCTTGCTTTGCTGGGAGTGCAGTGTTATGCTCATGGTTCACTACAACCTCCAACTCCTGGCTCAAGCAATCTTCATGCCTTGGTCTTCTCAAGGGCTGGAATTACAGGCATCAGCCACTGTGCCTGGTCTGCATGTTTAATTTTTAGAAACACTCTGAATCTAATTGCATAGTGTACCCTGACCTTTTAACTTATAATAAATATACCTAACTCAAATGTCATTAAATATTATTGAAAACATTTTTTTTTCATGTTCATGTGTTATATATATACATTTTTCCTTATCCCCATAATATTGGACTCCTAGTCAGAGCGTATGAATATTTTGGAATTAAAACATATTGTCAAATTATTTTGTTAAAACTTTTTCTAGGCTGGGTGTGGTGGCTCACGCCTATAATACCAGCACTTTGGGAGGCCGAGGCAGGCAGATCACCTGAGATCAGGAGTTCGATACCAGCCTGACCAACACGGAGGAACACTCTTTCTACTAAAAATACAAAAATTAGCTGGGCGTGGTGGTGCATGCCTGTAATCCCCTACTTGGAAAGCTGAGGCAGGAGAATCTCTTGAACCTGGGAGGTGGACATTGCGGTGAGCTAAGATCATGCCATTGCACTCCAGCCTGGGCAACAAGAGTGAAACTCTTCCTCAAAAACAAACAAAAACAAACAAACAAAAAAACCCCAAAATTAGCTGGGTGCGGTGGTGCCTGCCTGTAATCCCAGCCACTCAGGAGGTTGAGGCAGGAGAGTCGCTTGAGCCTAGGAGGCAGAGGTTGCAGTGAGCTGAGATTGGGCCACTGCACTCCAGCCTGGGTGACAGAGTGAGACTCTGTCTCAAACAAAACAAAAACAAAAACAAAAAAACCCCACAACTTTTTCTAGACATAGAGGGATCGTTCATTTCACTTTCAAAGTTTGGATATTTTATATAGAAAAGATTGAAAAGTTGGAATGATTTCTCCACCTAAATGGTAATTTCTCCCAATAAGGTATTGGATATTACCTTCTACAAATGTTTGTAGTTAAATTAACTTTTTGAGGTATGACACAGTTCTACTTTTGTGTGGTAACTACATCAGAATGACTTCTCTAATTACATAGTGCAATTCTAAATATACTTTTTCTCCTCGTTACTCTTACATTGTGTGTTATACTCCTCTTAGTGTGTTAACTTGTGAAAACTCATACATGTGTAATCTCTTTACTTTTCTGTTTGAGAGAATATAAGGGTTTTTTTTTTAAAAAAAACCCACAAAGAGGTTTCCAGACCTAGCAATGTCTAGAGAATTCTTTTTAACCGTTAAGAATAAACGATGGCAAAATTACAAAGACTCTTCCAGAGAAAAGGAAAAATCAGATTATGCCCAATCTGGTTTGATGAAGCCAGATCACCTCAATACTAAAACTTTACAAGAGCATTATAATGCAAGAACACTACAGTCTGAATCAATGAACATAGATGTGAAAAATCTTAAATAAAATATTTGCAGAAAAACATCATTATATAGAATACAATATACTGTGTCACAGTCCATTTGGGATAAGAATATATAGGACATAAGTAATATATAGGACACAATATATGCTGTGCCACAATCCATTTAGTATAAGAATATATAGGACACAATTCTCTAGTATATAAGACAATATATAATGTGTCACAATCCATTTGAGATAAACCACAGTGTAAGACTGGTTTATTACTCAAGATCAATGAGCATAATTTGCACATTTAACAGGAGAAAATTATATGCTTATCTCAATAGATGAATAAAACTATTTGATAAAATTGAACATATATTCATTGATAATATCTTCATAAATAGAGATAGTTTCTGGTTCTCTGGATTTTTAAAATTTTCTCAAATTATCAAACTTGTTTAAACACAGTAAACCTAGTCATACTGGAGTCTGTTTCTGATAACTCTAATGTCTGGTTCCCTTTTGGGTCCGTTTCTGTTGTGTGTTGTTTCTGCTATTTCTCATTTATAATGACTTGAGTCCTTGTGAAGTGGTGTTGTTTGTCTGGGGTAATAACTGAGGTTTTTGTCTCATACCAAGGAAATTGGCAACGCAGACACACAAGGAGTGGGGTTAAGAGCAGAAATTTAATAGGCGCAAGAAAGAAGAGAGCTTCCTCCCAAGAGGGAGGGGGCTGGAGCCGGTTTCCGGGATTGGGGCGAGATGCGATTGGTTTTATAGATGAGCTTGAAGAGGCAGTGTTTGATTTTCATAGGGTGTAGTGGATTGGTTGGACTAGGTGTGTCATTTGCATAGCACGTGTAGAGGCTGGCTATCCCAACATAATTTTTTATTATGCAAATGGAGTCTCTACCTGGCTGGCGCTATGTCGCCTGCACATATGGTGACAAAGAAAAGGGAAGAGGGAACCTCTGTGTTGAATATATCTGACTTCCAGGGATCCCTTTTCTGTTGTCACAGCTGCTAGCATTCACCTATGCAAGCTTCCAGCTTGCTTATCTATGCTTGCAGCTTGATCTTTTAGGCTGCTTTTTGTTAGAAAAGAAATGATTTGGGGCTGATTTTTTAACTCTCACTAAATGCCTAAATAATTTCTTTTTAACTCCTATGAAACTTATTTGCCAGAATTTATTTGAAAACTTTTTAGAAATAGTTTTGAGTTTGGGATGACAGTGGAGTTCTGGGACAGTATTAATCTTGAATAATAATCCAGTTTTAGGGATTGAGATTATTTCAGTAAGTTCACCTGCAATAGCTGTGCTCACCTTATTGCTGTAGGTGCACTCTTCTATTGTATATTTCTTTATGTTCAAATCCAAACTTGGAGGGAATATCACCAGGTAGACTCATTTGAGAGGCCTTTGACTCTCATTTATGACTTTCTAGTTCCAGCTATCAAAAACACACTTAGCTTCTTAGCATCCTATCTCCTGCTTCCTAGAATCACCGAGATACCTCTAGGCCTAAACGCCCAGCTGAAATGTCTGGATTTCCTTGTTGTTTCTGATTCTGACCTTGTAACTCTTTACCGTGTTGTTAAATATTCAGTACTTTCAAGCAGCATTTTACAAAAATACTCTCTTTTATTTTCCTAGTTGTTCTCATTAGTAGAAATCAGATTGATCCGACTTCCCCAGCCTGTCATTATTAAAAATAGAAAATACGTTTTTTAATTCTAGGTGATGATTTTTTTGAGATATAACATGGAAAGTATGTTAAAAGGCCATGTAGTATGTGCTCCTTAAGAAAAACTCTTAAAGTAATTTTACAGTTATCTTATTAAGTCACTTTCTCTGAAAACATACCACTCTTTTTTATTCTTTCTGATGACGGCTTCCTTTGTGGCTTCATGGAGGTTATTAGCCACTTTGTTATATAGAAGGATTGATTATTAATTTTTTTGTCTCACTGCATGTGAGGATAAATATATTCATTGCATATACACTTGGAGCTCCTTAGAGGAAATAATCTTTTTTACATTTTCTGCATTTTCAAATTCAGTTTTATAATATTTATGCTACTAATGTTTTTCCTTTGATTTTCATCACAAGTAATTTGACTTTTCTCATTAAAAATATGAGAGTCATGAATTTTCTATGGCAGTGATAAAGAAAAACGTTAATATTGAAATTCTTCACATGAGATTATTTGACACATTTATAAAATCTTGGTCCATATTTTCTAGTTCCCTCATTATGATCTTATTTTCATGTGTGTTAACCCCAGTGTGATCAATTGATTTAATAAAACTGCCCCTGTTTTCTCTTGTTATCTGATAACTTCTTAATGACAACTAACAGCTTTTGTGAGAGCAGCACCATTAGCACTAATGGATAGGAAGGCCAACTGATATGGCATGGGAAAGGTTAAAGATGACTAGTGACCCTTCGGCAAATCTGCTTGCAGCAGAACAGAATAAGTACCATGCTCATTGGAATTATAGGTCATAACGGATTTTCTCACACTTTCGTTATAGTCTCTAATGTTCAGCTGTCTTACAGCTACAGTTTAGTTCTGTGAGTACTCGTGTGAAGATTAATCAGTGATTTAATGAACTTTTTTATACAGATACCTCAGATTGTGAGGACACTCAGTCTAATTTTTCATTTTGTCCAGATTATACTTCTCCATTTCTGTTTTTTGCTGAGGCTTTATAATTTTTCATATATATTTGAGAAAATAGATATATACATATTCTGTTTACTAAAATTAATTGGAGAAACAAATTACTGTGAGGTGATTTAGATTTGCATTAAATAACATTATCAGTTAACTTCTGGACACTAGTGCTCATAGATGTGCTTGATTCTAAAATGGAAACAACTTTACCCTAAAAGCAAGGGTCTTTACAAATGCAGAAAACTTTCAACACTTCTCTATAACCACCTTGGCTCTCTGCATAGTTAATGGTTATGATAAATAGTAGTAACTTGTAACTTGCTATACAAAGTGCAGAATAGATTTCTTAAATTTTGAGTTTTGATTTTTGTCCACTAATAAGATGACTCCATCAATAGTCATAGCTCCCCCCACACCCTCCCACTCTTGTCCCCAGGAAATATCAAGCACTCTTCATGTAATATGAGCCACTGACTATGAAATATACTGCTGTCTTCTCTCTCTCTGTGAATCTTTTCCCTGGTTCTCTTATGTTAACTTTTACTGTTATCTTGTGGTTTGCTTTGGTACATTACTTTCCACTTTTTATGTGCTCCAGTTCTTTTAGTTTTATTCCTATTCATTGGTATAAGAGCATGAAATAATAGGCTCAGGGGCAAATGGGGAGGATATACAACCAAAGACTTTAAAACTAAAAGGCATTCCTTTGATAAAGGCATAGCTGCATTTAAGTGGGAGCATCTCCATTAGCATTAATGGAGTGAGTACATCAGCTGAGGCATCTCAGAGGTTAATCAGGCTTCCTGGCCTGCTCTTGACATCAATACACTGTGGCGCCTGATTCTGTTGGTTCTTCAGAGGCTTACTTGACAACACTCTAACAGACTTTGTGTAAGTCATTTCTTGTGAATTATTGAAAGAAACGTTTGGCTGCTAATTGAGGAACACTATGTGTTTTATAATCACTGGAGTTTGAGTTTTTAGCACTAAACAAAACAATTACAATTGATTTGTGGCTTTCTCTTGGTTTTAGTCAGCTGTAAATTATATCTTTTTGTTTGAATTCAGCAGATAGCTTTGCTGGTCATTTTAATTTAAGTATTTATTAGTACATTATTATGGATCTTAATTTTTCCTCTTTTCTACCCATCAGACATCTGTGTTTTATATTCATTAGATGTGAGATCACAAGTAGTAACAGAAGTAGAAATCACAAGACAGTACAGGACAGTGGTTAAAAATCAGGCTGTGGAGATGGATGATCCCAGTTTTGAATTCTGACTTTGTCATTGGGTAACTGTTTGAGCTGCCATTTTGCTTAATTTCCCTAGCCTCAATTTTCTGTTTCATAAAATTGAAGTATCAAGTGCCTTCACCAGTCCCTAGTCCATAGAAAAGGCACTGTGGAACATAGCTACAGTAAAATAATGCATCTATTATTAGTGCTAGTTTTATGGTATTTTAATAGAACATTTCTTCTTAAAATACTTCTCCCCTTTTCAATTTTAATCTAATTGCTTAAATCACATTTCATGAATTAAAATTTGAAATACCATGTATATAATAGTTTATATTCTCAAATTTAGCCATAGCATGTGCCAGAACTAGGTGAGGATATTTGTTTTTCATAATTATTTTAGAAAAGATAGTCACTGCATGGAGGATTAACTTGAAATATTTTAATGAAATTTTTTTCTTACAACATGAGAATTGGAAAAATGTACCTAATATTATTTAAAATGTAATTTTTGATATATCTGTGTATTCTAGGCTGCCTGTTTTGGTTCTAATGATGACATTCTTCAGCAATGTGTGACTCGCATATATTTGTCTTTGGTAGCTTTCTTCCTTTCATTTTGTTTTCTATAGACTCAGGAACTTGAAGCTTTCTTCCTTTCAGATTAAAAAACTTGTTATTTAAAGAAATTTTTCTATTAATGTGTATGAGGATAATCAGATATTTACAAAGAAAAAAGTACATTACATGAGTTAGTTTTACTCTTTTGTTTTGTATGAAATGGAACTAAAATGTAATTATAAACATCTTAAGTTATCTTTAATTGAAATAATATAGTAGGAGACCACATTTTAATTGTTTTCTGTTACCAGATAGAAAATAACTCTTTTAACCAGTTTAGTATGATAATTCATTCATCCAGTAATTAATATCTTGAACAGAGACTGTATTTTCTGTATGCTAAATCTTGGTATACAGTATTATATAACAGCATATTTATAGATTTGCTTTTGAAGCACATTCTTTTCCACATAGGTATTCTACTAATGTCTCAGTCTTTTTCATACTAGAAAATAGATATACAATTAAATTTACAATATTTCAAAAATTGAACATTTCATAGTTGCTACTTCTATGTTATTAATTTTAAGATGTATACATTAAGAGGAGGGAATGAAAGAAATATCTTTTATAAAAATGTAATTGTACCCTTATGTAAAACAGAGTGCTTTAATTTGTTTAACTATGGCTTTATCCCTGCCATGATGAAGTCTTAGTTTGAGGGAATGGCATCAGTAAAGTCTTTAAAGATGTAAGTTTTGGTATATCAGAAGACTTTAAAGACTTTACTGATGCCCTTCCCTCAAAGTAATACTGATATTCTAATTAAAATTCAAGGTCATTAAAAGTCAGGCCCGAATGTCTGTGACAGTTTACTGCTATATAAAATATTGTAAGAGAATAAAGAATTTAGCATTATGATTAGGAAAACTAAAAAAATGCATATTTCTATGTAGTATCCAAATACTGATGTGAAGTCATATATTTTACCTTTTATTGTACAGACATTGAAAAGTGGCCTGACAATGGTGGGGAAAGTGGTGACTCAGCTGACAGGCACACTACCTTCAGGTGTGACAGAAGATGACATTGCCATCCATAGTAATTCACGGCGGAGTCCTTTGGTCCCAGGCATCATCACAGTTATTGACACTGAAACTGTTGGAGAGGGCCAGGTAAGAAGAACTTTTGGTGTGCACAATGTGTGTTACCTGCAAAGACGGGGCTAAGATCAAGATTAGTCAACATGTATTTGGCCTAGGAGATTATTAATTTGGAATTTTAGGAATTGAGATTATTTCAGATGAGGTGTTTCTTTAAAAATGATTAGTAACATGTTAAAACCTGTTATTTTGAACATTATTAATGTCTCAAACATGAAGGCAAAGTCAAGGTTCTAAAAGGCAAAGTCAAGGATCTAAGGTTCTAAGATTCTCTTCTTGCTCTGTGAGGATATTTGTTTCATAAATACATAATTATGTAACGTTTCATACTGTTCTGTTCATAATAGTCTTTTTCTTCTTAACTTGCCACCCCAGAGACTCAACTACTGTTTCTTTTTCGTGTGTAATGACATTTGTCATAACGTAAATTATAAGATTAATAATTTT